CTTTTCAATGTTCTGAATGAGGTTGGAGTGGGCACATATAAAAACATGCAATACAGGAAAAAGCTATGGGGGGCAGGTGATTGTTTTCACCTTGCATACCTTTGCTGTAACACTTCGATGGAGAGAAATAATGCATTTTCAAAAATCAAGCCGAAACGACAACTGCATACTGAGGCCGTAACTTAATGGCATTCTAGCCGCATACCATATTAGACTCTTAAGAATCCGTATGTTTTTGTGATTGAGCGGACGAGTTTTGTATTTATACTCATTTGAGTGTTTACTAGAAGGGATTGTCATACATTCCTTATAGCTGAAGTATTCTACAAAGATTTTGTCTTATCAGAAAAAAATGAGGCAAAAACCAAGAGAATGTCTTGGGCAAAGGCTTTTCGCCAGAGATTAGCAGGAATGGGTGAAAAGTTCGAGACAAAGTTTGGAGATCAGTCTTCGTTCTTGATTTTACCTTGTTTTCGCAACTTGGTCGGAGCGTCAGGGTGACCTTGTGGAACAAACATAGTTCTGTGTACTCTGCTATAATATTCGTGATTTCTAACATTGTACCATTGGCTAAATACATTCCCAAACGTTTCACCGACATCGTCAGTGATAGGCGCCATCGTAAGCTATGGCGATAGTGGCTGCTTGTGTGCTGCATCCAGATGGAGTATAGGATCACCTTTATTTATGTCGAATTTCAGGTCAGTATAAAACCGTTCAAATTCATAAATGTATGCGTGCTTCATCGAGAAACAAATAAGAATGTGCTCTACGGTATCTTTACTAACCTCTTTTTAGAGCAGTACTGCTCCGGCACATTAGACTTTTGATCAAAGCCTGAACGTTCGCAAGATCCAAATAAGTAACTTTGGACGAACAAACCTGCAGTTGCACTCCATCATCTCGAGAGCAGAGTTGATTAACTGGTATGCGCTAATTGGACGTGGTCCCGGCTAGTATGACCGTAGGCCTACATCTTTCTTCAAGGTCTGCTGACTATTCTGAATGCCCATTATATTTTAGTCCACTACCTGGTTCCATGACCTGCTTGCGGCTGCATTTACGCTTTGATGTCTATTGCCAAGCATCCAGTCTCCATCCAAATACATTGAGCCGCTAGGGTCTCATCTGATATTGCTTTCCAAGAGGTTGGAAAGCTAATGCATAGCTGGGACTAGTTGTTACTAAGGCAGATGGTGCATAGTTTAGAAATTTAACCATTTCTGGACTTTCCAAAGTAGGCCCTCTTCAAGTGGGCCTCTTTATGGTCTCATGGACGATGCCCGCTAGCCGATTATTTATATTTCCACCAAATTGGTCTTGATGCTATGTAAGGAGATCTAATAAATTCCACGATCGCCCGAAAAATTAACCAATAAATTATTATAAAGAGTCTGTTGACGCTTACACCAGTCTGCTTCAAGGCTTTAGGTTCAAACCAAATAATGCGCTTCAATGTAAACCTGGTCAATCTATCCGCAGTTGTGGACCCTTGAGACATTTTTTAATCATAAAGGTTATGTCGCTTATATTTTGTACTAGAGGTAACCAAAACTCTTGGCTTGGTTTGGCCTCATTCGCAACCTACTTGCATCTTAAGCATGTAAGCCATGCTGAGTCCTTTGCCATTTTCATGCATTCTTACAGAATCGATGAATTCACTGGATACATTCCTAAAAGTTATGCAGGCACTGCCAGCCTTAGCAACGTAAAACAGCAAGTCAAAGTGATGTATAAATGCTGTTCTCTTAATTTATTTTCTGTTGAACAGTTGAGGCTTTTATCCTCCCTTGTGGACCGTTACATCTCCTGTGTTATAACGCCTGAAATGCACCCGATGAACTGACCTATGCTGAGAAGCTATGACCGAGCCAAACGCCACACTATCCTATTCTTCGTATAATAATCATGCTTATCATTGCAAACATTTAGAGATGGAAGAATTATATGAAGGGAAAACAGTTAAATAAATAGGCCTTTGCTTGGAATTATGAAAAGCATTTCATCTTGCCTAATCTATTATTCAAGAATATTAACATGTAGAACGTGAAAATAAAAGCAGAATTCTTAATAAAAACTAATATATTGGGACTGGGCAATTTTTGACTAATGTATTTTACACTATTGCCCATAATGTTATTGGTGCCCTATAGAAAACGAACAATCATCTTCTATTTTAGAGCCATCTGAATTGTTTTTCATGACTTTCACGCGAGGTATGAAATCCCATAAAATTGCATAGATGCATTCATGGGAAGAGCATAATGGTGACCAGTCTAACCTCGTTCTGATGCCTAACTTGTCCTGGCCTTCGTAGCCAGGGAAGGATAATAATGAAGCTGGCTGAAAGCTCCAACATAACCTTCGAGTGAATGCTCATACGTTTGTGTGAAAAGGCTTTCCATAATATTCGGATGCAAATAAGTAGGATCCTCCGAATGTGATTAATCCATTAGCATCTCAAACTGGATTTGAGCGTTGGCATTTCTCGCTCGCAATTGACACTTAAAGCGCACGACCACGTTCCGCTTCATGTTGCGCACCTCGACAAAGACTATCGGCTTTAGATAGTTCTCCTGAGCCAGGTAGGGAAAGAAATGATGGGGAAACAAACCGCAACGGCGAGCGCAGCCTTCTCGCTCAGAGTGCACCAATGCATCATAATAGCACAAATCGCCGTACCACTCTTCATCCTGTGGCGAGGCCCCGCCACAGCAGACTTGCACTCCGGCAGACGAGCCTTCGTCTGTAGTGCTGCCTTCTTTCGTCTCTTCCGTGGACTCCAACGAAGGCAGCCAACCGTAGACCGGATTCAGAGTGAGCACGAAACAGGGTGAGCCGTCCTCATAGCCAAAGTCGCGCCACATGTTGCAACGATGGCCCCAGTCCAGGTCGAACAGACAACTCCGTCTGCCATCCAATGGAGTGCCGGTCTCTCCTGAATCAGAATCCACTGGCTCGGTGCTGGCCGACGGTCTCGGTGCGAAAGGATAGGGCACTGCCTCAACTCCGGCACCGGCAGCGGAAACTGTAGTCTGTCGGCCCAAGTGACAATGCACCAATTGCTCGTCCTGCCTGGCGGCGTAATCGTAGAAATGAGTCAGTGCGATCAGAGCATCTGAGTAAGGCCGATATGTCTCCTTTCGGCCTAGCTGAGAAAGTATAATTATATCAAGACTCAATATGGGCCTAAAAGGCTGGAGCCTCGTTCCTCGCTGTCTCTACCAGCACGAGCATTGACTTTATAATATTACTTCTTTGTTTTAAATATATGAAGAAAAGATGCATTTCAAAGAACCCCTTAGTGAGTTATTGTGACATGATGTTTACCTCGAGGGAATAATTGGTTGGAAGAAATTCGGGAATTTTCTCACCATAATTTTCTTCACTTAACCCAATACGCATTACCACAAGCCTGAATATGCTTAATATTGCAGGATTACACGTTAGTCTAGTTAGGCAAGAATGTTTGTTAGTCATGGAGCGCCTATTTAGAATCACCGGTGCGATTGCATCGAGCCACCCCTATCTCTTGACTTATTATATTTTCGTGAATTATAGTTTCTTCCCTGACGAAACCTTTCAAATAACGGATTAAAATGAGCATGGCTTATTCGAAGCCTCACAATGGTGAGCCGAGAACCTCTTCACACAATCCAATAGGCTTCACTGCAGGGAGATCCTCCTTTGTTTTTAAATGAGACCATTATAAACTTATAAAATTGAGTTGTTCTACAAAAGCAAGAAAACTCCTTTTGATTCTTCATATCTCAGAATCATGAATGTTGCCTCAGGAATGACCCAAATCACGGTTTTAGTTACGGTCTTATGAGCCATAAATTATCTAACAGGGAAAGTCTCAACAGAATTAGTGTGCTTCGAGACTAACGGCACTTTTAAAGCAAGGACTTCTCCCAAAAATTTAACTTCCAGAATTTTCTGCCCACCTTTCAAGGCCGGAGTGTTAGAATTTAGTGGTGGTTTTCGCGTGGTGGGGATCTGCAGACCTGAATAGATAATTTCTGGAATCTGTGCCGACCTTTCGTCTGTGATGTAACAGGCAATATCAAGATAAAAGACCATCATTCTTGGAGGTCGGCGGCAATCAAACCTACTTCTTATAACTCAATTTTGTGATCTTCATGAAGCCTTACATGATTTGGCGCCTATTTCTTAACTGAGGGTTTCTTGTTCTGAAAATATGGTTCACATTGTTATTCGAAGGCTCGGCACGAATTAATTGGATTTGCAGAATGAGCTTAAGACTTCCTCGAACTACCCAACAGTCTTCATTCCGAGTCGATTCTTCTTCGATTTCCGGTGGGGCAAAATCATGAAACCCTTCCAAAAACTTTTCTTTCGAAATCTAACCCAGGTCATTTATTCTGAGAAAAAGTTGTTTGGCCACTTCTATATTGACCTGATGGATTCGCTTCACTCATCTGCAAGCGTGCAGGAAAAAACATGAGGTAAGTTTCGAGAGGTCTCATCAGGACCTCAAGATAGACAATTTGCAGCTGACCTTCATTCTTGTCTTAATATATGGCATAGCTTATTGAAGAATGGTAGAATTGTTGTGAGCGTAATATTGTGTAATATGGCAGACAAAAACCTAGCATATTTTTACTTGATCTGGACAACACCTTCGACCTCAACCGTCCAACTAGAACAAATAAAATCTACCATCAACCTAGCAGACTCTTAATTTAGCACTTTCTAATCCAACAATACCATATCATGAAATTTCTCTAAAACCAGTATCCCGAGGTCTAAACTGGATGTATCTTAGTAGGGTAGAGACAAGGCTAATTCAGATGTTTTCAGTATAAGTCAACTAAGAAGCAGAATTAAAGGTACATCTTACGATACTATCTCCTACCTTCGCAAATAATATCTACATTTCTGTCAATAGCACATTGTACAACTTTCTCTAATACTTTATAAATTTATTGCACTATGTATTATTTTTTATTAATTATTCTATTTATTGTTATATTTAACTATTTATTTTTCATTATTTGTTACACATTATTATTATGTCAAAATGTATTGTTAGTAGGTTTCGAGACCATTAGTAGATCTTAATTTGGAACTGCAGCCATCCTAGGGCGGAGGGCTTATGGATGAATTTTCCCACAATTACAGAAGCATGCCTTACAACGTCACAGCTACGCCACGGCTTCGAATGTCAGTAGGTCAGAAAGCAGATGTGACGTTCAAGGTGAGCAAGGCCTATCCCACATCACACTCACGCTGCACTGCTCGGATTCGATTCCAGTCTGGGGTGGTTTGGAGCCCCATGGAGGTCGAAAATGTAGTCCAGCCTAGATGATAATGCCTTTTGTGAGACGTGGCTAAGTGAAATTCGATGGCCTACTCATATCAGTTTTGGAAAAGTCTTCCGTCTGTCCTGTATCATCGTATGCTGCATACAAAGACTAAAGCTCTTATGCACCAAAATTATTAAAAATAAGGAAAAAAGAATTAACTGATGGCACTCTTATGAAGTATCCAGTCGAATCTGACCATTGGATGAGTTTTACATCGAATACGAACCGAAGAAGCCTTTTTAAAGTTCTTAATAGTGGTGTTTGCAACTAGAGTAAGAACAAACGTCTCGTATTGCGGCCGAAACTCATATCGAAACCTAGTTTTTCTTCATATCCTTAAAGTCTCATATTCTTAAGTTTTTCCCAACTCCCTTGGGCAAACATTTCCTCCAACCCTCTCAGAGTTACTTAATTTTTGGTCTGACTTTCATTCTGCGCGAACATGTGGCGAAGTGGTTGTTAGAGTTGGCTTGACCTCGTTTTAACAACTCGTTCGGAATAATAGGATGGCCGAATACAAGATATCTAGTTTGATGGTAAATGGATAAATATGAGGTTTTAGCTAGAATAAACTATAGTTGATACGTGTTTAAAGATTAAGTGTACTTGCGGCGCGTAAATGCAATGCTCCTGAATTATGTGAGGCGTAAGAGGCCTATACCAGGTTCGAGGCTATTCAAGGCTATTCAAGCCTCATAATCTCACTAAGAAGTTCTTTCTGCCCCCTCTTATTCTCACTCTCTCTCCCTTAAGCCCATCCACAGATCATATACAGTTTACACCACTGCTCCAAACAGTGTTTGCTTATTTCATCATAAACTTTTCGAGATTCTTGGTCGCATTGGCTGATCAGGGCAGTGATAAATAATCACCTACAACTCTATCTTGTCCATAATACCTCTGGACACTTGGAAACCTTCAAGAGCCAAAGTAGTAGAACGTATATATGACCCAGATATGTCTATCCTCAGTTTTTTGAGTCAAGAATCCCCGAAATTATTCCAATATCGACAGTTCCCAAAGTATATCCTACCGACTCCTAGTTAATTTATCTATTTCTTTAAACAAGTCAATTCCTATATTGCGTAGTTTGACGAAGTATTTTAAAACAAAGTGCATAAGAGCAACTGAGTTTTTGCGTGGTTTTGACCTTACGTAAATGGCCTAATCTATCGATATCTTACATTTGCTTAATTTTATCTAAACAAATGGTAATTGATCCAGTTCTCTGGCACTGCAAGTAATCAAATATAGACATAGATAATACAAAAAATACGATATTTATATGCATTTACGTAACACACGAAATAGCGAAAAGATAATATTGTTGACTTTCCGATAAACAAACAATTTTTGTGATCTTATGGAAG